GCTGATGTAAAAAATAATAGCTTAGGCTACTTTTATTTTAGAAATTTATTTTAATTAGGGTTTCGCTCAAAAAACAAACGTACCTAGGGACACCCGTGCGAAGCGAGGGTGAGTCGCTAGTATGGTATAAAAGTTTGTATAACTTTCATTTAACTAAATCATAAAACTAGATTTTTCAGATTAAAAAAAATGTTAATATAAATTAAAAAACAATTAATCTCGCTAATATCAAATATGTTATAATTTCCGATAAAAATAAAACAAAACAATGCCAATAAGAATTTATTTTAAAGTTGAGAGAAAACATTGTAAGTACATACAAAGAAAAGTACATTTCGCAAATTACTAAACCTTACGTTACCGAAATAACTAACACATTCATTCATGAAACCAAAAAAAAAACAAACACCAAACATCCTAAATACGCTTATTATGAAGAAAATTAAATTTTTAGTACAAAACACTATATTCTTCTGAGATACCAATAGAATAAAAAAATGTAATTTTATGAATCATCTTATATGTAATGGAATAGATCGGCAAGCTGGTTTTAATTCCAATACCTTCTAAGGCAAGACATAAGAAAAATAACTATTATTTATAATAATATTACAAACAATATAATTATAAATAATAGATTTTAGCTAGATACCATCCCGCGACACCTCATGTCTTTTACAATTAATTAATCATTCAAAAAATTTATAACACCCAAATTAATTACGGGAATCGATAAAACACAAATTTAACATTTTGTATTGATAAATATAAAGATATCTATTTATATTTTGCTTATTAATAACCGGCAGTGTTGTATGAGGTAACAAAAATATTTCAAAAACTATCAAATTTCTAAAAAAATTTTTTTTTTTGGAAATAAATCTTTTAAACTGGAGAATTTTGTATGAAGAATTAATGTTTGCATAGTAGCAGTCAAATATCTTTACATCCCGTAAATTCAGTTATTCTTATTCCCATAGACAAAGTGATTAAAACCAGCCATAAAACTACACATACCCAAGCACCTTAAGCCAATAAATATATTATATTATATTTATGAATAAATTATATATTAATCTATCTTATGTACTTAAGTATATAAAATGTTGTACTTGAAAATTTAAAGCTCAAAAATAATGAATTCGAAAAACTGTCAAAAATATCGTTACATACATAAAGGCAAAAAAATAATTCAGAAAAATTAGATTCGAGTAATTTAATTATTTTCAGGGTTATCACGATTATCATGTAATATGTGTATTTTAATGGACAAATAGTTACAAAAATATCTTTTTTTTAATGATTTGCTATTGTCTTATTCGAAATGGGTTTGACAGATATCAACTACGAGACAGCAGCCATCTTAGGATATAAACTTATACGGTTTTATTAGAATTTGACAACCCTTAAAAAATAAAAAAAAGCATATAAAAAATAGAACTAATTAGAATAAATAAACAATTAATAATACAGTTGTTAAATGCATGAAAAAAAAAACAAATATTACCAAAAAGTATACTCATATCTCATAAGTCTAATCTAGTAGAAAATAGGAAATGCTTATTAGAAGTAATGTAATAGAATATATCATACGCATACGTCTTTTATATATATTAAAATATCTTTGGAATGCAAAAAATTACTATTAAATAACTTGACGATCGAAGTTATTATTAATAAGAAAATTATCGATATAAAAATCGATATTAATAATCGCCAAGAGATTAATTCGAGTTTTTGTAAATGCAATTCAATTAATTAGTTGGCAACATTGTTAGATTGGCTTTCTTAGGAATAAATGTTAGTGTATCGATTAAAAACTTAAAAAAAAATGTCTTTTATTAAATTATTATGCAATATTTATACGAAAAAGCCTCGAAAGATAAGTCTAAATATCACTACGCACTACTGGGAGCCGTTTACATCATATAATATAAAAACACTAAAACTTAGGTAATTCCATTATTATATTTAAAATTTAGAATAAAGTATACTTGAAGTTCTGTAAAACATCTTGTAAGGAATATCATTAATCTATATCCAAATGCTATTTTTTAATACAACAAAGTCCGATGTACATAACACAAAAAACCTATCCCCGCAAATACAGATTTCATAATGGACACATTATACTCGTATTAATGAAATCTTATATTTCAATACAAAAAAATGACATGTAAACGGCCTCCGAATAAATACATTACGCGTTTGCATTATAAATACAATAACGATATGAATTCGATTAAGGCATACAATTCTTATTATATAAGAAACAATCGAGGCCACACATTTGTATGTATGTAAAAGCTTAACCTCGAATAACTAACTTGCACCAATACTTCATGAAACATTGTACTTTAGAACTGGGTTTTATTATCATTTTCACACACACACACTTCATTTTTGCACCGTATTATTCATAATGTGATTCATTTGGTTATACTGAAATTTATTAATGTTTAAAATAATCCTACTAATATTATAAATAATATTATAAATGCGAAACTTTGTGAGGATGTACGGATGTCTAGATGTATAGATGTATGTCACTCTTTCACGCACAGAACTAATTCCTACTGTTGTATTAAATATTCATAACAACAACAACATATAACTGAAGTACTGAAATTATCTCAGTATCTTTTTACTTTAAACTAATTCAATGCACTGGGATAAAAATATCTGTTGTTGCGTGAAAGGAGTACATACTAACAAACATACATTTCGATTTATAATATTCGTAACGTACTTTCGAAAAGTCGACTTAATATATTTCAGCATAACCAAATCCTAATAATCATATCATATCAAACAGCAATCAGACTCGTCGCAATATAAATAATTATTTTATAAAAAAAAACCTATAACCTCATTCCATTTAGCTTATATTAAACAAAAAATTCTTATATAATTAATTTTATACAACTGTTAAGAAATGGTCACTAAACCGTTTATTTTATAAAAAATATTACGACTCGTCAAACGGAAGCTGCACGCACCATTCATCACAATAATGATAATAATAAAAATTTACATCTAAAGTGACTATTAAATCTTAAAAGACGTAAATTCCTGTAAGCGAAAAGTGCAAAAATATTAAAATGTGATCTTAAATACATTAAAAATCAACGATAACCATACAACTTGTTAGAAAACTTCCTTGGCACTATTTAAGATCGAAATTTAAAATGTTTACAAAAATATTATAGGAAGACTGTTATATATAAATATACGGCAGTCAGTGCCAAAATTGCTTACCTTAATTTTATGAATGTTTATTACAATAATAATATTAAAAAATACAAAAGGAAAGAAAAGGATTTTTAACGCATAGCCTCTAGCTATGCAAAACGCTACATAGAAAACATGTTTAAAAATATCTACCTTTTTAAATTAATTAAAAAGTTAAGTAATTTTGCACTGACAGCTGGATAAATAAAAAAAAATATAAAAAAAATATCAGTTGTATCGTTACCATTTCATCCTTATTCTAGAACGTAAATACAATATTCCATAGAAAAAGCAAACACATAACAAATACCATTGCAAAATAAACTGAGATCTTCTGGAATACGATAAAATCGACCAAACAAAACGTACATCAATCAACGAACCTTAGCCGAATTTAGAGTTCAAATCAATAGTAAAGTACTTATATAATTTTTCCCAAAAGTATTGAATACATTAAATAATAACAAAGAAATCAATTTTCACCCTTAGAGGTGTAGTCTAGAATTAATTTTCGTAGCATCTTTATCGCACTTTCAACACACTCTTAAAATAGCACAAAGAAAAATGACCTATATATATATATATATATATATATATATATATGAACTAAAATAACTTATAATAAATAAAAATAATCAAATATTAATATAAATTATTATTTCACAGGGACGTAATGACTGTGATGTAAATGCAGATTATAAATCTTGGTCCACACTATTCCAATTCTATCGAAGCATTTAACATCAGCCATATTTAACTCTCAAATGTGTTATCGCTATAACAAGTTTATAGATGCAATGAGAAATTTCGTAAAAAGATGAGTTAGACAATAGGGAATATGCGTGTGATATAAATAAAGGTGAAATATTTTATTTATAATCTTTATTGCTTTTGAATTAAGCCTATATTAATATTTTTTAATGTAATTGCGCGAAATAGCGAGCTTTTAAATTATCCATAACGGTATGGTATTTTTAGTTTTTATAATACTAAATTTTAGTTTTTTGGAGGTGGATAATTTTTTACAATATATAACGATGTATGCTATTGTATAAGAAATAAAAAGTCATGCATATTCCCTATTAGAAGATTTAAAGAGATGATAATCTCGGATATTTGCAAAGTTGATAAACTTAGAAAACTGAGATTATTATCTCTCATTTTCGAAGTATCTTAGTAGAAAGAGCTGTTAATGTGACTTTATATACATATATGCGGAAGTTTTTTATACCATTTATTATTATGTCATAGTCTCATAAATTTCTAGTCCATAGACCCAAAATAACACATAATAAACATAATATACAAAACGGTACCAACGGTAAATCCAAACATTAAAAATTTCAATTTAAACCGATTGTGATATGTGTAAAAATCAATTTTGAATTTAATTCAGTCATTATTATTTTATTACAATTCCTTAGATCGTTTCAATACTTTCAAATTCCTTTATCAGTCTCAACATTAAAAAGAAAGCGGCACTTTAAAAAGTTAAAGAAAAAAAATATTTGACACTTTATATTTGTGCGTACTACATTTTAGTCATAAAAAAAATAAATAAAGCTTTATAAATATAGCATTTAAAAGGGTAAATTGAAAAAAATGCCACTTTCTTTAGTATAGCAGCCTCAGTTTGAATTAAATCACAGTTTAACTGTTACATTAAGGCATTGGGTGCACTTATTGAAAATAACTACATATTTAATTCAATTTGTTATTTACTAGACACCTAGGTTATAACTAAAAAAATGCCGTTTTAAATACATTCACAGAGGATATAGAATAAGAAAGATGGCCGATATGACGAAGCTACCGAGGCATAGACAAGTGTAGAAGATCCTATTCTCTCTGTCACTCGCAGATTCGACCATATTATCGTAATTAGTCTGAATGTCTAAGTTCATTTTGTCTCTGTCGTATCTATCGATATCGATATTCTCATTTAACTCGATCGGAAAGTCGACTTCATCGGTGTCATATATTTCAAAATTATCACTTTTTAGAACACCATCTTTACAGAAGGGCGTGACAAATTGAATCTTATTCTTATGGTAATAAGGTCCACGAATCCTTAGCTCATTGGTGTATACCGGCGAATACTGTACTTGGGGGGATTCTGTATTATCACTGAGCTGGTACTCCTCAGTTTCATCGAACGTATAATTTTGGTCATTAAAGTTGAAATTGCTTATGAATCTATCCTCACTGTATCTACGTCGATAGTTTACTGTTATAGTGTCGAATTCGGGGCTGTTTTGGGTGTCCATTGGGGTGTCTATTTGGGTGTTTTCTTGAGGGTTGGTGATATCTCGGCTGTATTCAGGTTGGATATCCTTGAGCGAGCTCATGTGTAGGGCGATCACCGTACGAGCGAGTGGGAGCACCGCTCGCTCGATGCCCAACACATCGTCTGGCGAACAGATGTCCTCCTGGAACACACGCCACCCCATTTCTTAATTTCATTCATTCTTAATTTCATATAATTCTGTTTTGTTTAACATTTTGCTTGTAATCGCTCGCGAAAGGATATCTAACCCTGCAATGAATCTGACGGTTTGCGTCGTTTGATTTACAAAATATGGACACGACCACGATTTTAAATACTATTTAGTTATGATGAATATAATTAGCGAAATAAAATAATTAATTTATGAACTGTATAATAATAAATAGATAATAATAGGGACATATTTGAAGTACATCGAACAAATTAAAATTATTTCGGTAACGTATAAATTAATATTACATAGCTATCAATAATCAGAAGTACCCTAATACTTTAAAAAATAGCAAGTCGCAATAAAGTTAAAAAAAATATAAAGAAAATATTTTCTTTGGAATTTACACCTTAATTTCAAAGGTGTAAATTAACCAAAAAATAAAATCGTAACAATATCGATATATTGAGATTTTTTTAAATAAAAATGCTCAAAATATAGATATGTCAATATGTTGCTCAGAGCGATTATAATTAAAGTGACACAAAACAAAACTCACCTCTTCCACGCCAATTTTCCGACACGCCTCCAGGAAATTGTCCACATTTCTCCTACATCTGGCCATTGTTAGTTTAGGCTGAAAATACACAAATTTCATTATCATTTATATTTTCATTAATATCAAAATACAGAATGAGATAAAGTTAACAGATATTTTTTATAAAAATAATAATAATCGTGATTTGCATTCATATATAAATGTATTAAAGAATAATGATAATATTTTATGGTTTGATACAAAATCATTATTAGAATTTTTTTGAAATTCTACTTTTATGACCAACTTAATTCATGATTATATAATATATAGTATAAATACATAACATCTTACATTTACTATATGTTTGTATTATATACTATATGTTTGAGCGTCTTGCCGGGGGCTGAATGCATAAGATCCTTACGCCTCATTAAAAAAAAAAACAATATTTTAATAAGGGATATTACAATCACATATTATAGAATATCATATTCGGTCGGTTGGTTGGTCGGAATGGTTACCATAGCAACATGACAATTTATTCTATCCCATTCTCTCGCCGGCTTAATCCTATATATTAATGTGTTCATCTCTTTTCAGTTTTATATCAAAACGATTCTAAAGAAGTTTCACTTAAATAAAATAATAGAAAAAACAAGCAAGCACCTGCGCAGGCGAGGGCACGTGCACGGAGGCGACGGCGCGCGGGCGCACGTGGTTGGCGAGGTGGCACAGCACCACGCCGTCCGCCAGCACCGGCGCCAGCTGCTCCGGCAGCGACATCTTCAGGCGTGTCTCTATTATCTATACATATATTTATTTTTCTCATCACAAAAGTCATTATAAATAAGGTTGTAATATCATAAGTAAATTTAACAATTACAGCAATAGAAGCCTTTGTGAGAGACTGGTGTCTGTACTAGGTAAGAAAGAACCTGTATCACAGATCACCAGGCATCTATAAATAATAATAATAAATATTTTGGAACATAAACACACAACACCATCTAGTTCCATGGTAAGCTACGAGGCTTGTGTTATGGATACCAGATAGTTATTACACTACACATATATATCTTTAAATACATGCATATTATAAATATAAACACCCGTGACTTGAGTACAAACTTTCGTGCTCATCACACAAATGAATGCCCCCAACGGGACTCGAACCCGCGACCGCTGGCACAGCAAGCAGGGCACTACAAATTGTACTGTGTACTGTTGATGAAATTGATCACAATCAACCAACTACTTCTACAGAACAATTCCAAACTATAGCTAATAATATTTTTTATTAACACTGTTCTACCCTTGAAAATAAAAAAAAATATATGTTAAAGAGCATAACAAGAGTCATTTAAAGGAAAAAATGGTGATAGTGTCTCTAAAAATACATGACATTAATATATTTTTTTACTTTTCAGTTTGTAATATTTCAATATATGAATCACAGCGAAAACTTTAAAGTATCTTATTTAATATACCTTTGGAGTACCTAACGTTTGCAGAAAAGATTACATGTTTTTTGTTGTAAGGGAAAATATAAATATTTTTTAAATTAGATTGTTTTATTTAAAAACGCAAATGCAGAGGCTTCGGTAAATGTTTCGTTAAGAAGGTGATTCCATGGTAAAAATATCAACCTAACTTTCCCGAGGGGCATCTGGCCCTTACTTACCCTGCTATACTCTTTATTCAAAATGTCTTGTAAACCACTTTAATTAAAAATTATAGTTTCATAGTAATTTTTCAGCTAAAAATTTTTTTTTTCAAAATATTAAAAGGAATACAAAAGCTTTTTTAGTAAATCAGTCCCATGATAAATGCTTAAACATTAGTTTTAAACTCAGTTTAAAATATCGACCTTCATAGCCCAATTTTAACCTAGGTATTACAACACAAACATAAATATACATATCATTCAGTATTATTATAAAAAAAAAGAAAAAGAAGTATGAAGTAAAATATTTAATATACATTACCGTTCTCAACTGCTGCAACAGATCCAACTCCTCCTTCTGCTTATCAAACTCCCTCTTCATAGTGAAGCTCAACTTATCTGGCGGCGTGTCCTTATTCCATATTTTGCTTGGCGGCTTCGAACCTGTACCCTTTAAATACGCAACTGACGTCGTTAACAATTTTGCATCGCCGTTCACTGTCCTTGGTATGTTAGACTTAAGACTACTATACGTATTTATCGGAGATTTTGTAGGGGACGTAGGTTTCGTGTAAGTTTCTGATCCGTTAACGCGTGTATAGTCGACATTACCGTTGACTGATGTATATATTTTGTTAACGTTTCGTGACGGAACGACTTTTTGGACAGGCCGTTTGGTTTCTTCCGGTTTTTCTGGATTACCGTTCTGGGTCTGAAATCTTCGGGGGGTGGAGTGTAGGATGGGGGAGCTGGGGGTGTTTGGGGCGTTGGGGGAGTTTGAGCCGTTATTAGATAGAGATCGGGTGTATGGGGATATGTTATACCCATTTATGGGTGAATGGGGGGATTTTTGAAAATGTATGGGACTTTGGTTTTGGGAGTGTGGAGTGGAATCTAATTCGGGAGAAGGTTGCTCTGTTCGGGGTCGGTAGACATCTTGTTGTCGTTGTTGTCTTAGGGCTTCTTTGTATTGTCTGGAATTCGAGAAATTATTATTAGAGGTTTCACATATGACATCCAATATTATTTTTAAAGCCTGTGCACGTTTTATTTGGCAAAGTTATCAAATTAGTTTTAGTATTTCATATATAAGCATTACTGTAAAAGCATATTATAAAGCTGTAATAGCGGTATTAGTCGAGTTCAAAGCCCACCCATATAAAAGTTTAGTCACTATTTTGGGTTATTCAGTGAAGGTGTCCTTCAAAGGTTAATTGCCCAATCATGAAGGCATTCACGACGCTTCGTGAGTTCGGTATTTACAGCTGAAAGCGCAGACTTACACATAATAAAAGCTGACATTCACCAGGTTTTGAATAGCTGTAAAATGTGCTTCCAACGGTTATTATTTTCATAAATAATATAGGTAACTTAAGAAAAAATAGTATTTATTTTTAAAATACAACCAATTAGACACATTTTAAGCTAGTTTTGATATACATATAGCGATAAATACATGCGTAGCGATAACACGTAACCATAGTGCTGCATGAGTGCGCGTGTGTGTGAATGTACCTGTATGTTTGTTGATGGGCTAATTTACTCTTATCCTCGCCATTTGAATTCCCTTCGGGTGATATACGGAGGCTGAAAGGGAACACCGGGGTTAATAATAAAGGGGAAAATGAGGGGATGATATGAGCCAAAACTGTTGTTTACCTCTGCATCGGCGACGCGAGAAAAAATTAAAATATAAATCAATTTAAGCGACTAGAAATACTATAATAGAATAGATAGATAGATCTGTCAGTCTATGCGTCATATTGTGCTTGTGTTTTCATTATATTAATTTTTTTTATTCTTTATTTTAATATTTATTTTAGCAATTATAACAGGCATTATATAACGCATGAGTAAATATAAACAATTTTAAATTAAAAAAAATCACCATATAACTAAATAACCGTTCTTATAATAATAAGATAAGAGCGTTGACGAGGAATTGAGTACTTTTAATTTAGAAGTATCTATATATGTATATATACATTTTTATAGTACCTTAAATAATAATATATTTTTATCCATAAAATGAAGTCTATGTGTCTCACCACTGCATATTTTGTATAAATTAAAAAAGAAATATAAAAGCATTTGTATAAAAATAATTAAATACTGTCTATTTAAATAATAATAATACCTAATAGTTTTGACAACTTTAACATGAGCAGTTTTATATAACTATACGAGTATAAACATGTACGAGTACTTAAATGATTTAATGAAATTCAATGAAAGAAAATGCCTTTATCTTCCTAGTTACAAATTTATACTAAAAGTTAGCTAGTTATAAACATATGATAAAGTCCAAAATAATTTACACATAAAGGAATCAATACTCTAAATTATTCTGACCTTTAATATTCAAGTCAATACTTCTATTGTCACACTTAAATCTACAACTGCAAAGAACAACATTGTAACTTAATAATATTATAGACATTTTTGATATCAAAACTGACTTACAATGTTATATTTAAATAAATCTCTTCGGATTTCAGGGACACTCAGTCTCTCCCGTGATTGCTGTAAAGCCTTTAAAACTTTAAAATCCTAAAACTTAAAAAAACAAATTCGCGTTAAAACCCGAAGTAATTACTTAAAACTTCAAACATTCACAAAGTCTAAGAAATTTTAAATAAAATTATATTTTCGGATTATTTCGAGGACTCCTTTCGACCTTTGGTTCCCCCTGAAATGAGTCCGCGAAATACATAATCCGAAAAGATAGTTTTATTTAAAATGTCAAATATTCGCGAAAATCTAAGAAAGTACTAAGTCTAAGAGAGTATTACAACGTTGTTCCTTGCATAATTCTAAAAGGAATCAATCAATGAATGAACTCACCCAGTGAGTATAGGCGTGAGGGGCGCTAATGGCGTCTCGCTTGAGAGGGACTGCGCGCGCGACAGGGCGGCTCCTGGTGAGAGGGTCGAAGGTGTGCTGGGTGTTGAACGGCCTGATCCTCCACCTTCACCGCTTGCTGGCGGACAGGATTAGTTTGTATGAGTACAGATCGAATATAATATTGACGGGTTTACACCTAGTAGACGGGCAGCTATTTGCAACTATTTGTATCGCATATTATATAAGTCAATATTTTTTTTTTATTATTTTCATAGAAACTTCCTTTAAAGATAATGTACTAATGACAGGCATCCTTGCGGATAATTATAAGGTCCTGAGTACACACGACACTCTTAGCATCTGAGATTTAGTCTCTTTGCAGATGCTTTAATGTTTGCATGTGTGAATGCCTGTCCCAGTGTCAATAGTAGGCGACGAGATTTCCATACCACGATCTGATGCAACTAGTTGCTTAAACGCGACGCATTCCCTAAAACGTGCGATTTAGATACTGCAGTCAAACCTACCAAAATGGTAAAATGCGATACAAATCTACCTAGATGCAATCGCAAAATCGCCAACAGAAATATCGCAAAATTGAATTTATAACAAGTGTAATAGTTTAAAAAAAAATCGGACAAGTGAGTCTTCGATGTCTTATGATGTGTAGTCTTAGATAGGTACTTCCGGTTGACCTAGAATTGTCAATTTTAGTTATAAGCAAGGTCTTACAGCACAAGTAACAAAGAAAATTCCGAAAAATAAAAGAAATTGAAAATTAAAATAAAATAATTAAATAACTCACCATCATTCGACCACCTTTTCTCCATGCCATCTGTACAGTATCCGCTATCAACTACATGCCTCGGCTTATGCCTTAAGCAATCAATAGTAGCGTTACCAGATGTTATTTGATGATTACTATTAGTTGGTGAACCGATGTACGATGTGTGTTTTGTCGATCGTCTGGTCTCATCCACTCTTCTGTGAGCGGGTATAGAATCTTTAATAGCCATATTTTCTAAATACTTGAATATGTGCACGCGCCCGCGCATGCAAATCTGTGGAAAAAGATAATAATATAATATTAGGTTTTGTATATATTTTGGGTCAACTCTAGGTGTCTAACAGTAGCCTATGTTACTTCAGGTACAAGACGTTTCAGCGTCAACGAGTAACAAATACACACACATACAAACTTTTGCATATATTATCTTTTAACAAAATAAAGTTCATATATAAATGCTCTATAGAATAGAGTACTTTCAGTTTTTCCTGGAGAGCCCAATTATTCAGGCAACTTTATCAATATAACAGAAAAAAAACCAAACAGGGCCATCCGTTCTCGAGTGATGCGCTTAGCAACGAATACATAATTTTTATTAATGTAGACATATAACCTTCGAATTCCATATCCATACTAATATTATAAATGTGAAAATGTTTGTTTGTTTGTCTTTCTTTCATGTCGAAACGGACTGACGGATTGCCGTGTGGAGATAGTTGGAGGGCTGGAGAATGACAGGCTACTTTTTACTGCGGAAGATTATCTAATTCCCACGAGAAAACTTTATAATAGAACTCAAAAAAATATTTATGAACAGAATTACTTGAAACTTGGTATTAATGCTCTTCAATACAATTAAATAAATACGTATTTCAGCATGTTTCGAAATTCATCCCATAAGGAGGTAAAATAGGGGATGAAAGTTTGCATGAAACCTACCTTTTTAGAGTTTTATTTTGTAGTTTTAGCGCGAGCGATGCCGCGGGTTCTGCTAGTACATAATATATACAATTCCTAATAATAATAACCTCCAATACGAATTTTGGTGACGGCCACCAATCTCAATAACTTTAATATTATGTACAACCTATTGTGATACCTACATATAAGACAAATTCCTACAGAATCAGTAGAAGGATCGCTGTTAAGACATTCAACACCTGTATTCTTATTAATATTAAGGTAAGCCAGATACATGAAATAGATGGTCTTTGAGTCACTTAAACTATCAATTGAAATTACGCTTTAGTTATTAATATATGTATACTAGCGACTCACCCTCGCTCCGCTCGGGTTCGTCCCTGGGGTGGGGTCTGGGAGGACCACCCTTATCCTTATCACTTAGGGGTATGGAAAATAGATAGTAGCCGATTCTCAGACCTACTGAATACGCATATAAAATTTGGTAAAAATCGGTAAAGCCGTTTCGGAGGAGTACGGTAACTAACATTGTGACATGGAAATTTTATATATTAGATAGTAAAAATTATCAACAAAAAATGCTAATTTATTTTTATGTCAAATACATTAATTTTTAAAAGATTCCCTTATGTAATAAATGTATAAAAAGAACATAAATATCATAGACAGTGTTGGTATAACGGGAGTGCACGGGTCGATATATGAGCAAATATTTGCCTTTGCCTTTCACTTGATGATAACAAGGTACTTATGCAGGAAGGTACACACGTTTATCGGACCACCTGCCTCTTAATGATACGGAAAGACGTCATTATACTTTCGGGAATTCGTAAGTATAAAATCGTATTTAATATAATTTGCTAGCTTCCATGCTAATATTATCTATGCATAAGTGTAACTGATCGCTGTCTGTACATAGAAGATATTTGAGAAAAACTATTATTGGGGGTCTTTATTAATGCAATAGAACCCAAAACAATGATTATGAGAATTTGTCCGTTTGTCTGTGCGTTTGTGCGCGCAAATCTCAGAAACGGCTTAACCGATTTGGGTGCGGTTTTCGCTTATGTATTGTGGTAAGCTTCATTTAACATTTAGTTTTTTTTTTATTTCAATCGGTTAATAAATAAAAACGTTATGTCAATTTGTCAATTTAAAGAACCACCTATAAATATGAAAGTAGCTGTCTGTTTAATCAGTTTTATTTACTACGCTGTATCTACTGCCCATCAGTTGAAATAGTTCTTATGAATTTTGTTATAACTATACATTTACCTTTAACTCCGAAAGTTTTTTAACTTAGATGGTGAAAAAAGTGTAAGAAATGATTATATATACAAAATGCTGTTTTGAATGTTAAATTCTATCTTCAACCATTTTTTTTAAGAATAAAGATAAAATATATTTTAACATAAAAAATAAGAAAATAGATTCTTTTATACATATATTCTTTAATTATTACATAATTAGTAAAAATATCGCGTAACATTCAGACAAAAATATAAATTTATCTCTGGCTTATTGATGTCGGTCAAAAAGAACACGAAACTAGGTCTACTAGGTCACCAGTTCTATATACAAATTAGTGTCACGAATTAAAATTTACTTGATTAAATTAAACACAACAAACACAAGTGTTTTACAAAAACTTTTAATTTAAAATTCTTTTGAAATTTGTTTATTTAAAGTGAGTCAGTGAAGTGAGTTCCTGAGGAAGCTTTCATCGACTTGAAATAAAGTTCTACTTAAAAGATTCCAATAGATGCTCAGTTTTCCTTCAAAGTTTCGAATATATTAATACAACATAATAATAATACATAATATATAAAATTCCCGTGTCACATTGGTCCGCGATGAAGTCCGAAACGATCGACTATCTTAAATTTTTTTTTAAACGTGTGATTTGTTCCAACTTAAAAAAAAGGATAGTTTTTATCCCGATTATTATTTTTTTTTATTGTAAAATTAACGATTTTCATATCCGGAGAGAGAACCTGAGAAACCTAAGCCAAAGAAAAAAAAATGTGCCGCAGCAGCGTGTGGCCGGGTCTGCTAGTATTATATATAAATTCCACAAATTTCATCTACAAGAAATTCTTGAACAGAATAATACGTGCGTATTAAGTATACTCAGATTCATAAAAGTTTTATTCACTTTCTTACTAACATAAAAATATTTCTCGCAATAAAAGTACCTAATCGACTATCATAAAAAATCGTTCCGTAAAGTTAAATTTTCCGCATAGAATTTATTTTGTAATTAGATAACGATTAAATCATTGAACAAATACGTAACATTTATATAATGCATTTTTTAATTTTTTATCTTCCTCAGGCTACAGATCTATAGCGTTTTGCTGGTTTTATATTTTATTAATTAATATTACTATTAATGTTAATCATGTAATACATGTATCAGCAAAAAATATAATACTGCAAATACACAATTATTAATCACTAGCAGAACCCGCGGCCTCGTTCGCGCTAAAACTACAAAAAAACTCTAAAAAGGTAGGTTTCATACAAACGTTCATCTTCTATTTTACCTCCTAATGGGATGAATTTCGAAAAATGCTAAAACACGTATTTATAATTATATTTGTATTGAAGAGCATTAATACCAAGTTTCAAGTAATACTGATCATAAATAATTTTTTGGGTTGTACTATGGCGTGTTTTTCCGAGGGAATGAGATAATCTCTTACGGTAAAAAGTAGCCTATGTTATTCACCAGCACTCCAAATATTTCCACAACAAAAATCAAGACAATCTGTTACTCTGTTTCGACGTGACAAAAGGAGAGACAAACAAACACACTTTCACATTTATAATATTAGTATAGATTACTAGGTATTTCCTTGCGAGATTCTTTCACTCGTTTCTTATCAATACGTAGTGATTAACAGTTCCTAACACTGATTTGTCTTATATACCGAGAAACGTTTCATACAAAAAATCATTTCCGGGATCATACCCACGACTTCCTGTACAGGAAATAATTGCTAGTTAAAACTGTAATATTATCAGTTTTAATACAGCGAAGTTATAAAAGTTATTATGAGAAGCCGTACTTACTGTAGTAGGTGGGGAGACTAGGGGGTTATTGTCCAGATTTAACGTAATAATTGTGGTCATATTGCGTAGCTCTAATGGAAGTGAAGAGATGCAATTACAGCTCACATCTAAGTGCTCGAGCCGGAGGTATGTGATTTCTGAAAGCAACAATCATAATAAATCGTCATAAAGCTATTCTTATGTAGGCATTCAATATTCATATACTATATTTATTTAACAATTTATTTACTCAAAGTATTGAATATACATACATAATTGATAACTATTAATTATAATATTGATTTGGTGAGGATACTAGATTAAATTAAATAAATATGTTGGGACTTTAATATTAGTTCAGTTTCATAATTATTTAACTCAATTTAAATACGTAAAATATGTGGTAAACCAAAATATAGTGATATGGTGAATCAATGAATATGAATATTTAATTGATACATACATCTACAGGAAAATTTACAGATTTTTTTCATGTAGGAATAAATAATATATTATTTCTTCAATTTACGCAAATATTTGACATTTTTAATAAAACTATGCACGGCAGAGCCCATCCCGTAACCATGGTGATTACCGTAAAGCATTCGAAACGTTGGGAATCAAAAATCCGCGAAAAAAATACGAAAAGATTATTTCAAATTCTGTGGTTGTTGCTGTTGTTGTTATTGTTGTTGTATATACATACTATACACCATTGTGTTAAGCATTCTAAAGTGTTATGTTTGAAAGACAAAGTATAGTATATTTATAGAACCCATATGATAGCAAAACAAGGAAACTATTACGGTATGGTTCAAAAAATTACAGCTATAAGTTTAAGGACAAACATTTATTAGCTATTGACAGGATATTAAAACTTATATTAATGTCGACATATTTTACAAATGAGTATTTCTCTCAGAATTCTGTGTCATGGCAAAGATAAAAAAGAACTTACGTAAAGGTAATAAACCGAGCTGGTTATTACTAAGATTCAAGCATCTTAAACCTGCGCAGTCTCCCAGAGTCATAGGTACTTGTGTGAGCCTATTATTTGAAGCATCTAATTCAGCTAATGAGGTCATCTTTCCAATTTCCTTTGGAAGACTAGTTAGGAGATTGTCTGGCAGTAGAAGTACTTGCAAGGGCATCAAACATACTTCTCGAGGCAATTCTGTGAGTTGGTTTGAACTGTGAACATAAAAAACATCCAATTTAATTTGTTTCATATTTATACCTTATTATGTAATCGTATTCCAAAAATACAAACTAAATATTACACGATTTATTTCTAAATACTAATTATAATGCAAAAGTAATGTTATTGAAATCTAACACAGGATTTAATAATCTAAAGACGGAGATCAATTTATTATCCCCAGGACACGTGTCAAGGTCCTCTATATAATCGATTCATTTGCGATGATCAATCTTGCGATGATCAACCCAGATAAATACACAAACAGACAGAATTATTGATTTTAATAATTGTTTATCTGTCGGCAAAATATATATACAATACACGTAAAATATAAATACGCATATTATAAAGACAACATAGACTTTAAAAGTTATTTAAAACTTTTCCATGCGTACATTTTAAGAGTGTTGCACATCATTAAGAATGCGCATTTTCATTATGCAAACTGTTAACAACTCGTATTATAATAATCTACATACATTTTAAAGAAGCATTCTCTTATTAAAACTATTTCACAAATTGCTTATATATTTTGCATTTCCTTCAAATTATATTGGCTGTATAATACAACTGATACATACTATTAATATTCGGAAACCTAGTTTGCTGTAAGTTTACGCTTAATAACACGCCGAAACGTACTCGTAAATCGTTTCTCGCCTAACCTAATAACTCGGACATTGGTGCCAAAAAATCAAGTAAATATTGACGTTTCCCCTCGGCTATAAAATTAGAAAATTAGAATTACCATATTTGCTTTGACACATTTAAAAACATTGAGAATAAATAGAATATCCTTATATAAACAATTGTAGCAGCTCTATATATTTGTATTATAATGACTCTTCATAATATAGATATCACCTACAAAGAGTCCATTTAATTATGTATAAATAATAGGTATATTATTATGAGTATTGCTTAACCTACCACAAACACATACGTACATACATTTAAATGATAAAAGAACACAAAAATGCTTTCACATTTTTTTGTATAACCAGCTTGTTTATGTAAGGGGCAATAAGTAGAGCAGAGAACATCGTTTCCCTTTGTGGTGTTCTTCAACGTAAGTGCCAGGGAAACGCTAACTAGCGTTAAGATCAATTTGTAGCGTCATTATTTCAAGGAGAACAGAAATAGGATGAAGAGATTTATTACAGCTTCCAATCCAGTGAACACAAAACCACCGGCGCGCAGATTTTGTAACCTACCTGTCGCGGACACATTCGACTGTGCTAAATCAACTAGAATATAATGCAACTAGCAGTACACGCGGCTTCGCCCGCGTTCAAAATTCCGATATAAATATCAGTTTTACAATAATGTATGAAAGTCTGCCCGATTTCTTGGCATTTATTATTACTGCTTCGCTCTCTTGGGTAGAAGCAGGATGATATATAGCAGCATGATAGGTATACCTATGTCTTTTCTTAATAAAAGAGCTTTCTAATGCAAAAATAATTTTTCAAATCGGATTAGTAGTTCCAACAGCGCGTTCAAACAAACAAACAAGCTATGCATCTTTATAATATTAGTATATATTAGTCTCTAGATTTCTTTACTGCGAATCGAGACATCTTATAGACACACACGTACTCATACATACTCGGCTAGTCGGCTTTTTTCTCCGAGACTATTGCTAGACAAGATGCCTTGAAACTGGATTCAACACTACTGAGACGGGATTAATAATAGACGGGGTCGACGGACGGTGCATTGAAAACTGATAGGGACCTACAGCGGTAAAAACTTAGCAAAAGTTTGAACCGCATTGCGCTCTCCAGTGCGGATGGATCGACTTCGATAACAATATAGATACTAGTGACTTACCATTGATTCGCGTGCCTTTTGTATTTTTTATTAAATAATATTATTATTTTATTACTATTTTGGCAAATTTTATTACTACAAGTATCCCATATTTTACTCAAGGTTATACCTATACCTACAGCCCTTTCAGCTTAAAAGAGTTATAAATATATTATGTGTACTTAGTTAAACATTTATATATATATATATATATATATATATATATATATATATATATATAATAGTAATATGATAAAGTTAATGGCTAATCATCTAGAAGATATTATAAGGTCACACGTGATATAAAATGTTATTTATATCTATCTACTCGTGACACAACCAGGTCATTAAACATTGAAATCATACTATGAAAAAAATTATCAGTCAACGTTACAATAAAGCTTTTGACGAGTAGTGCAATATGTAAGAAAATATTAATACCAATAACAATATTTCTCACAGTGCCAACCGATAAGTAGCGACCGTTATCACGAACCTTAAATGGCTTAACAATGAAGTTTCACCAGAATGTTGAAGACGAACGGTGCGGTCGATTACAGTAGTGTAAATATGCTTTCTACATGCGAGAAACCAGACGAGTTCCAGCCATATTTTAACGTTGAATTGATTTTATTGGCATCTGAGAGCATCGAGCATTGAAATGCACTGTTAAGTCATACCTTTTTATTTGTTTGAATTGTTCAAATAGTTGAGATTTAAGAAATGCTAACCTTTTATTAAGTGTTTCTGTATAAAGTCGTTTACAGGTACTCGTATATTTTATTTATGAACCGATTGAAATAAAAGAAATAATAAATGTTAAATGAAGCTTACCACAATACATTAGTGAAAACCGCACCCATGTCGGTTAAGCCGTTTCTGAGCTTAGCGCGCACAGTCGCCCGAAAAGATAGACAAAATTAAAAAAATAAATTGTTTTGGTTGCTATTGCGTTAATAAAGACCCCCAATAACATATAATAATTTTTTCAAATATCTTTTATGTACAGACAGCGATAAGTTACAATTTTATTATATACAGTATAGATATGTAAACATAATAAACAGCTCTTTTCATATCTTGATAAGGCATCATGTTTACCTGATTTCTAATAATAATATAAACTAATCGAATAGCCGCTATGTACTTAAGTGCATACCGTTAATAAAAATATACATATTATAACATGCTACGTTAAATGAAATTTATCTTAAAAGCCTTCACCTCTGCAAACGTAACGTCATCCATTATTATTGCTTACATAATTTGCAATCACATTTTGTTTCCTATCTCTTAGATAATACTGTCAGTTTCTATTTTTTTAGTCATGTGTTGAGGTTTTCACAAAAATATATATACTTATAATAATAAAAATATAAATACAATACAGTATATATATATATATATATATATATATATATATATATATATATATATATATATATATATATATATATATAGTGTATTGTACAGAATTTATTAGGCATGTCGAGTACTTCCTTTAAATCTCTCTTTATTATGATGTGGAAATTAATCTACATCCGCGACTCTACGGTTTATAAAAAAATGTCATTAGCGTAGGAAATGTGTATATTATATGTACAACTGACGGCGAACACCTGCACATTCAATCAACACAATGAAAATATTTATAAATACTTAGTATAATTTTATTTGCAAACTAGTATTTTTATTGTCAATCATACGTAATACATCTAAATTAGTTCTCTTATTGGATGCTGATATATTAATTACTAGCAGAACCCGCGGCTTCACTCGCGTTCAAACTACAAAAAAATCTCTAAAAGGTAGGTACCTTGGTTTCATAGAAACTTTTATCCCCTATTTTACCCCCTTATAGTATGAATTTCGAAAAATTCTAAAACACGTATTTATTTATTTGTATTGAAGAGCATTAACACTAAGTGTTAAGTAATCCTGATCAGAAATAAATTTTTGGATTGTATTATAACGTGTTTTCCCGTGGGAATGCGATGATGTCCCGCGATAAAAAGCAGCCTATGTCACTCTCCAGCTCTCCAACTATCTTCATACGAAAAATCACGCCAATCCGTCACTCCATGAAAGAAAGACAAACAAACACACTTTCACATTTTATAATATTAGTATGGATATCTACAGAAATAAAGATCTTCTCATTTGCCTCGCTACATAAATGTTATGATATAGTGACAAATGTACGATACGTATGCGTATGTATACCTACTAAACAAATAACACACCCACGAGATGAGTGTACGAGGGGTTGTCCCCTGAAGTAATGCGAGCCCAGAGTACCTACTAAATTATTATTTGATGTTTTAATTGAGAACTCGCGTGTGTTTATTTTTGGTCTTGTTCACTTTTGTATTTTTGATAGGGTACAAAAATAAAATACAAGTACATATTCTTTTATCACTGAAAGAAAAAATCTAGAGCAGTTTTTATACTATTGTTTATCTCTCTATATATATAAAAATCAATTGCTGTTCGTTAGTCTCGCTAAAACTCGAAAACGACTGAACCGATTTGAATAATTCTTTTTTTGTTTTGTAGGAGGTATATCAGGGTTGGTTTAAATATAAAAATATTAGGAAAAACTCATAAGAACAAGTGGAAAATTGAAAAGTTCAGAACTGGTTATTTTGTATGGGAATCACTACTTCCTATTACTTTCAATAGTGGTAGGTAGACCTCCCATCTACAATACGTCAAGTTTAAGGTAGAAAAAAATTATATATACTATATAACAGTATATAGTCCATCTATACTATACTAATCGTTAAAACGTACCTAGAGAAGAACCCGAGCGAAGCGAAGGTGAGTCGCTAGTATAAAAATAAATATAATGGTAGCTTTCTTTCTTTTCAAGAACTTAACAGTAGTATTATACGCATATATCCACGCATTAACAAACGTGATTAAGAATAAAACAGAACAATAGAATTGTCTTCATACGGCTCTATTTCTGTTACCTTTCTTTATGATATTTGTACCTAAGTTCATTTAACAACATATGGTAAATCTAATACATTGTAGTTTGTAGCCCCACTGTGCAAAATAGCGTTCCAGCGGGGTGGATCAAGGTCGATGTCATATTGATTATTCCTAGTTCAGGTCGTGGGGACACAGTGAGAGTTGAGGCAATCATATGTTCTACTATTATGTATGCAGTAACTGCATTATACCACTCTCAATACTAACAAGTTTTCAAAT